TAAATGTTTCTCTTTATATTTTATTAATAAAATAATGTTGAATTAATAAATTTACAATTCTAAAGTTTTACATTTTTTATCGTAATATCTTCATTCAAATCTTAACAAAATATATCAAAAATTATTGAATTTCCAATACTTATATCTGAAATTGTAAAATTTTACATATTAAATTAGTGAAAGCTATCTGCATTAATAGATATTTATATAGGATAACTTTTATTTGTATAAAACTTTGTATTTAAAATATAAAAATTAATTGATTGACCTCTATTTGTTAATATCATTTCCATTTAAATTTATATCAAAAAAATAGCATTTCTTATTACAATTTAATCATAGTTTTAGACTTAAAAATTAACCTTATGCAAAACAGTTATTGGATTTATACTACCCTTAATAATTAATTCACTTAATCTTATAGAAATTATATTTTCCTTAAAATAGTTCATAAATTTGTATTATAATCTGGACAATTCACAATATAATTCTAAATTCATTGTGATAGTGATGTATTTGAGTCCTATTTCATTGAAATATTTATAATTATACTCTATATCATTTAAAGTCTGTATATCATAGCAAATTACTTCATCCTAAGTTTTTTAATATTAATATTACGTAAAAAATTCTAATTTATAGTTACAATTATCTTAATAACAATATTAAGCAATAGCTAAAATTGGATCAATATGAATTTTGTCTTCAAAAGGAACTTTTTAGATGCATCTATAAGTGTAAATGGAGTTTTCTGAATTTTATATAAAATAAGGATTTATTTGCTATTATAATTATTACTAATACATTAATTTCATTAGTAGATCTACTCTAGCAAACTTAACATAATGAAGGGCATTCTATGCATTTTCTATCAGCTGATACTCTAATTAGTTCTTTGTAATAATTTCTCTTGCATTTAGAACAATAAAATATGGAAGTTGGTAACACTCTTACTGTTTCACACACTGAACAAGATTCATCACAATATTGTTAGCAATAGTTGTTTAAAGTTCGATATCCTTGATGACACTATATTACTATTGTATTTGGCCTAGATATAACATAATTTATTCTAGATCTAGGTGGCAAGAATTAAATTATAAAACCTTGAAATTACCATTTCCCTGGTTCTAATAAATTATCTTATTAACATTATTTTGAATTTAAAATCGGACAAATGCTACAAACTCCTGTTATAGAAGACACAGTATAACCATCCTCACAAATTAAACATTTTGTTGTTGTTTATATAGTTTTGATACATTATTTACAATTTAGAATAAGGTCTTGGCAATTTATTTTTTCTAAAGATACCGAGAAATCATTTGATAGTGTGCAAATTTCTCTTTCATCAAGATTAATATAAGATCTGAGGCAATTTTATTAGGTTGGCTTTTTTTTGATACATGATGATGTTTTAAATTCAAATATAAATCCTTCTATACACTAAGCGCATCCTAATTTTATCTCTTCATCATTAAGTGAAAAAATTTCTACATTCTCAAGTGTAGATTTAGTTGGATCACTAGCTAAATAATCAAAACAATATAAACAATTTTCTAGTTTACAAGTTACGCACTTCTTATAAAAATTGAAATAATTTGGAGCATAACAAGTATTATTGGCAAAACTAGCATTAGAAGTCCTATCTAAACATAATTAGTTTGTTGATAAAATTGCGCATTTCTTACAATCATTTAAACACAAATAACAATTTTCATTTATTGAACGACTGGTAGAGCATACATTTTTGAATATTAATGATGCTTCAATTAAATCGTATGGGGCTTTCACATTCAAATCACAATTAGGACAGTATATTAATTCATCTCCTGCAAGTACGTATTATAAATTTTCCTCTTCAAAATATTTAGTAACACTTCCGTCCTAATGAACAAGTATGGATGTTTAACAAAGGAGAGTATGAATCCATGATTTTGGATTAAAAATACATTCTAAACATGTTATTATATGATTTGTAATTATTGATGGACTAAATATTATTAATAAATTATACCATTTATAGCAATCATCATTAATTTCAAAAAACCCATATTGACATTATTTTTCAAATTACTAGACTTCAATTTTATTTAGTTATAATGTTTAATAATTAACGCATTCATTATTCTAATCAATAGTTCCATATTCACAAACACAAACTTTAAATTCTGAGATATATCTTCTATTTGAAAATTCATAACATGATAAGCAATCATCTTTTGTTGGACCATCACATTCTTTGCATGTTGGATGACAATTTATCTAAAGATTATTAAAATCAGGACAATTAAAAAATTAAAATCCTATCAGTTGAAGGGTTAAATAGTTAGATTTTGATTAAAAAATATTTCCATATAGTAATTCAAATTATACAATTTAGAATTAAACTACTTCTAAAGTAAAGCTATATTTTTCTTAAGTATATCCCTAATAAAATGTAACAGTAATTGAAATAAATTAATCTGATTTTTCAACAAGAAGATGATGCCACAATTAAATATCATTGGTCACATCAAATTCTACTTTCTTTAAAAAAGGATTGGTTGAGAAATCAATATTTACAACAGGCAAGGTATAACTATAAGTCGTTATAATGATTTAATTTATTTAAGTAGATAATTTGTATAATAATTAAAATGCACATAAATTTTCTTAAGTTAATTAAGGATGCTAAAAATTACCCATTAATTTAAGCAACAAAAACTAAAATTCATTGGAGATTTTATTAATTTCTAAAATTTTTATCCATCCTGCTAATAGAAATTATTAACAATTAGTATTTTCGGATAATTAATATATGTTTAAAAACTCATTTATTTTTGCTATCTATAAATTTGTGGTACAAAATAAATAAATTCTTAATATATTATGGAGCATTCAGAATTAGGAAAAATTTACATGAGATAAATTTTTTAAGACAATATAATAAAATTTTTCATATTCTAGCATAAATACAAAAATTCCAATAAATATAATTTTTAGAATATTTAATAAATTATTTATAGAGATGGAAGAAAAATAATTCTGTAGTGAAATTAAAGTTTGATATATAAATATCCATTAATCCTGAGTGTTATTAAAGAGAAGGCAAGGTAAATTAATTGATGATTATTTTGAATTTACACTAACATCGACTCAAATGATATCAAATTTTGAATTATAATATTAATTTTTTTGATTAATTATTAAATTTTATTCAAATATTTATTTTTCTAATTAGAACAATTTTTCTAAAAAAAATGAGTTTTATGAAGCAGATATCTAATATGTTTAAAATTTATTTAATAGATATACATTAATATTATAATTAAAAATAATATCAGCTAATTTTATTTTTTTTAAATTGAAACATAAAATTATTTTGAAATACTTAATTGAAATGTCTCCTTTTGGGATATCAACTATATATTTTTTTAAACACGTTTATATTTTAATATTTCTTTCAATCAATCACAAATTTTACATTGGATATTCGTAGGTATATTCTATTGCGATTTAATTTAAAAAATTAACATTTTAACCATTGATACAATTTCGAAGATATTTTAGATGGAGCTAAAATTTGATATTATCTAAAAATCTCATTATTTAAATTTTATTTTTTTTAAGTTAAGTATGAATAATATTAATATATATATCTAAAACTTGATAAGTAAACGCAATAAACCACTATCTTAAAGCTAATAAAATCTTCTTGTCTATTGTTGATATGCTTAAAGAGGGAGAAATTCTTGTCATATGTATTAAATTTTGGAACGAATAATCCTATTTGTATCCATAAAAGAACTACATTTATTTAATTTGAATATATTTTTTGGATGTTAATTTAAACCAAAATTTTATGGAGCTTTAATAGAAAGAGAAAAAGAAAAAAAATTTATATTTTTTTTTTGGATATTAATATTCTATCTTCCCTTCCGCTCTTTATAATATAATTAAATAAAAATTATTACAAATATTGAAAAATTTAGATTTTATTTTTGTTTTAATTACATGATTTTGGATTCAAATAGTTTATTTTTTACAAATTTTATACCATAAATTGAAATTATTAGATTGCAGAATTTCTGTAGCTCAGAATTACTAATTCTACAAGATTTGAGTATAATCTTAGAAAAAGAATAATTGTTATTTTTTTAATTAAATTGACCTCTTTAATGTCATAAATTTATTTTTAAATGATTTCTTTCACCTTCTATAATCCAAATCTATTAGTAAAAGATTTTTACTTCAATTTTCTAAAAACTTTTATCACATATAATTCATAACTTTTGTCTCAGTATTATAATTAAATCAACATTAACACTGAGATTTAGATTTACCTAATCAAAGAGGAATCTTCCAAATCTATTTAGATCATTTATAATGTGTGTTTTTAGAGGATTCAAAATTTTAAGGAAAAATTAAAATACCCTAATTAGTATTATGTACATCTATTATTATTGATTTCACCTAAATGAATCTGTAATTCAAGCTTGTCTAACACTATTTCAAAAGAGTTTAAAATTATCAGAATACTATAAAGTATTATTTTTGGCATAAATATTAAACAGAGTACATTTTATATAAAGAAATTACGACAGAATGATTGAATTTTAGGATCAATCTCTAAGATTTGGAAACCATTTTATCAAATTCAATAGAACCTATTGCAATTCTCAATGTTTAAAGATTAATTGAATTCAATATTCTCCAAGAAGAATATAGCATTTAGAGTTTATTTTATATTCTAGATAAACTTTAAAAGACTTTGACTGAATATCAATTGGTAATTTAAATAAAAAAATGGAAAACTATTGATATATATTTTATAACGTAAGGATAAATTGTCTCCTGTTTCTGATTCTGATGAATGGCAAGAATAATATATTGTTTAAAGAAAAATAAGACAATTACGGGATCCTTCATTGAAAAACATATTCTAGATGGACCTAGTAGTACTAGAATAATTGTTATTTATTTCTAAAATAACGTATCTTCAAATAAAGAGAATTACTATTGTAATTGCCAGGAATAGGAAATGGAGCTGATCGATTGGAGGATAAATTGATAAATTTCTTCTAGACTAATTCTCAAGTTGTAAAATATAATAATTGATTAGATATTTAGAAACAGCTGCTTACTTTGGAAAACTAAATATTTGAAATTTAAATATGTATGAAGAATTGTATTAATTCTTCTTTTATAGATTTGTGCTGCTAATCACCAAAATTAACAATTAATCAATATAATGGTTTAAAGACTTTAAGATCTAGATTGCTAAGTCTTTAATACTAATAATTTTTTAGTGTAAATTCAGGAGAAATAATTATAAATTATTAATTAAAAAATTGTAATATGATGATAATATACAATTATGATTTCAAATTTGATCACGAATTTTTATGCAGACTTATAAATAAAACTCTGGATAATCAAATTAATCTATACAAACTAAGGTCAAAGATCTTTTTATAAAGAAATAAAATTTCGAAAATTAAATAATATTAAAATATCTTCTTCCTAAAGATCTAACTCTTATTTTATACTTTAACTTTGGTTCTTCTTCTCCAGGCTGATAATCATAATTTAATACTCTTCATTTTGATCTTAAGGTTATTAGATAAATTTTACTGTATACATTTGTAGAGGAACTTTTTAAAACAAGATTTAAGTTGAATTGGATTTATTATGTTATCGTTATCAAGTTAGCTTCTTAATACCGTAACTATGGTTATTGGAATTATTGAAATTAATTGATGAAGGGATTCATTATATTATTGGCTCCAGTGTAAAATTAGTACAAACAATTAGAAAATATTAGTAATAAACATAAATTGAATAGAAAGAAGTATTAAATTAAATACTTATTGAAGTGTTGTTATAAAGTAAATATAAAAAGAAAGAGAATTAATTAATTTATTCTCAAATTCTATAATGAAATAAGAATTTTGTTTGATTGAAGGATATAGATAATGAATTTTAATGTATTGACCTCAAAAATAACAAACTCCTATGTTAAAATGTTTGTTTTAACATATAGGTGTGAATTATAATGTATTAAGAAGGATGGCCATTAATAATTACAACCAATACTCCTAAATTTTGTAAAATGATATAGATGAAAATAAGAGCTTAAAAAAAAAGTGTGGAATAATTTATTAAAGAGATTTAAGGAAAAATCATGAAAATGGTTTCTGATTTGTAAAAAAGTATTTTTAAAAAAAGCAATTTTTGAGTGATTGAAACTTATCCTTTAACTATGATTAAATTTAAATTATGGATTCTTTTTCTTGATCAAGTATAATTGCTTTAATTTCATAAATTATAATTTTCTAGAGGCGACATTCTCTAAAGGGAATACTAGAGTAGCCACTTGGCATTTCCAACAAAACAAAATCAAAAGTTATCTACATAAGCACACCAACTCAGAATAGTTTAATGGAACTCTGGCGGCTAAAAAGGAAAATTTTTCCTTGCATAATTTGTTTCTAAGAGATAAGAGGAACTATTTTACAAGACTCCCCAAGCAATAAAAAGGCCCAAGTGATCAATCAGGTGGAATAGTTATTGTCGTTCAAAAATGCTTTGACATAACAAACTTAATTCTAATGTTTTAAGCCTCCGTCGATAAATCTCTGAGTAAATATGCTTTAACTAGCACTATCATAGTAGTTTTCAACTTTTGTTTCCGTCAAGGGAAAGATTTTAAGAAAAAGTAGCAAAAAATTTGGATTTATAGATATAGAAGGTCAGAAACAAGTTCAAACCTGGCCAATACATTTTCATTTTGGGAGACTTCAACAAATAAAAAGTGCAATTCACCAGATTTTCCAATTTGGCGGATCAAAATACGAATATCGTGTCTATGCTTCAAACTCACTTCAGCTTTGATTTAATTGCAGTTTCAATATTTTGTCAGATCATGCTCTCATAAGCTCTGAGATAATATTTAAATAGCTTATCAAACAGAAGCATCAGATAGTTTCCTTCAATAATCTGATTAAATAGGGAATTGTTCAGAAATACACATGTTTAACGGCATGGTATCACAACACCCGAAAAATTTGAGTAAACGACAAACAATCCTAAAAATTAGACAACCTCTACCAAAGATTGCAATCCAATTCCTCTTAACTCTTTAAGAAACTAAATAAAGTAAAATCAGAAGATCTGCAAAAGAGCATGCCAAAAAATAAGGCGATTACCAAGGATGGGATTTTAGATAATTTCAACCAAACAATTTGTACTTAATGATATTTGGAATTAGAGGGCCCTTGAGACATTTAATCAATTATGCAAGGCCAGATTAGTTCCATTGAGCAAGGTTTACTCTAAAATCATAAATCAGTTAAAATTCAGATTCAAAGTGATTCTGAGCTCTCTGAAAATTTTTTCTAACTCAGATTTCATTAAGAAACTGAACAATTACATTCTTTAACACCTCAATCATTACCAATATGGTATTATGTAGGGGGAAAGTACATAAACAAATATTAGCAAATTAACTACGATGTAAAATGAAAAAAGGAGAAAAAATTAGATGTCATTTTTATCGACTTCTTTAGTGCTTACAACACAATCAACAGAGAATGACTACACCAGATTCTAAAGCAAAAGTTTGAAAGATGAGGACAATGAATTTTGGAAAAATTGTACCGAAAATATGATTTCAAGACGCAACTAATAAGAAAAAGAAGTATTGGTTCCAAAATGGAGTAATAAAAGGGTTCTCCTATCTCACCATCCTATAAGATAATTTCCATTTCTTAATTTATAATCATAATTTTGAAATCAAATTATTTTAACTTAAGCCTCATAGAATTAGTTATCAATTATTATTGATAAAAGCTATTTTAATCTTGAGTTCATTATCTTTAAATTAAAAACTAAATAAGGCCTGTGATTTAATAATATCACTTTATATCATTAATTTCTATTTGTAATACACAATATCTTTAGTGACAATACTACATTTTCATTTCTAAGATTTAATTTCCTATACGTTTTCATAAATTAATAATACTCAGATTTCTATACAAAAATTTAATATTCTTTAACATCCATCTAAAGTATAAAAGTAACTATTACAGTCTATATCTATCAAGATAATACTATTAGATTTTTATAATATTCTCTAAATTAACTTATTCATTTTATTACCAATTGCAGTTACCTATGCTTTTTCTCAAATCTAATAAACTCATTTTGATCATTAACTAAATATTAAACTTTGCTATTCTTTTCGTACAATAGTATAAACAATGAAAATAAATAAATTTTATATTGTTTATTCTATTATGTTTATTGACTAAAAGCAATTACTTTTAAACATTCCTATTTGATCTTTCAAAGCTTTGATATCTAATCGATTTTATTTAGTCCGTATTTTAAAAGCCAAAAAAATCTCTTAAAATAATGAATTTTAAACAAAACTCAAATTATTCAAATATATTGCGATAAATAAAATTTAATATTCAACTTTTAGTTGAAAGCATTAACAAAATGAAATATCATGGGAAAAATAATATTAATTTAAATTTAGAGTAAAAATTAAATTTAGTCTAAGAGATATTTATTATAATCATAAGTATTATAAAATCTTTAAATTACAAATTTTATTTATAGTGTAATTTTTAGAAAAAATTTATGTTGTTTAATTAAAAATCAACTTTCATTTTTTTTAATATTAATTAACCAAATGGGTTCATTAATTTTACTAAATTCTGAAAATTGCTCTGATTTGATGAATTAATAGAATTTTTCTATTTTTAATCATTTTGAGATGTAACTAAGACTTACCTTTGCCTTTCTGTTAAGCTAATCTATCATAATAATTCTTATTCTAATATTATTAAAGATCTTTATGTTTAATATTGTCATAATTAGTATTGAAACCAATAAAGAATAAAAATGATATTTATATGGAATTTAATTATTATATCAATACTCCTCTCCCTAACAGGGTTGAATAATAATAATAATAATAATAATATATATATATCAATATAAAATAATAAGGATTAATTTACAACTTTATTGCAATCATGATAAATTATCTTTCCTTTAGTCACAGAATAAAAATAAGTTATTATTTAATATTCTTTCTTGCTAATTAAATTCAAAATTATTTTTTTTTAATCTAACTTGATTCATATTTTTGTTCAAGAATGTTCCATCTTTGTAATTATTATTTTAAAAATTGTCTTATAACAATTAACAAATATCAAAAATAAATTTAATAATTCTTAAATAATCAGTTATTGATTAATAAAGTATTTCCTAATGCAAAAATTTACATTAAGTAAAATAAGTTTTGATATTATTTTATTTTGATAATGATCTTGAATCTCTAAAATCTTAAGTTTGATTAATTACATCATTTGAATTCCCTTTAATTATATATAAAACAATAATGTAATAGTATTTAATTTATTGAGATTAAAGACATCGATTATTTAATATTTGATTTATCTTTCTAGTATGAATGGTCTTATTAAAAAAATTCAAGATAAATATATAGTAATCTTAAATGTAAAGATATAATCTCAAAAATGATTTGAATTAGATAATGCTTAAATGATTTAAACATTGAAGCTTTTTGCATGAATTATTTTAGTATCACAATAATACTTTCTGCTTTGAATTTTATAAAAAAGCATCAGCTTTAATATTGCAATTATTAATTGAGTTTAATATAAATGTAGTTTTTCATGTAATTTAGGATGTTTAAGAAATTGTTAAAGTTTCATTAAATTATTGTTGAATTTTAGTTCAAATGAAAAACGAATAAATTTTAGAACAAGATAAATTTTAGTTGTAGTTGAGAATATAATAAATAAAAGAAAAATAAATAGATTTCTAAATATTCTCTGCTAAATACAAGAATATTATTTAAGTTGATTAGTGATTTACTTAAAATTTTTGGCCATAATCTTCAACTACTTGGAATCAATTAATTTTTAAATGCATGCTTTACTAAATAGTTAGATTAATTCATTTTTTTTTTTAAGATGTTATTTTATATAATACCCAAAAGGATTTATTGATTAATCTCCATATTTTATTTATTAATCATCAATAAACATAATCTAAGAACTCGATTTGGAAAGATCAATTTAAAAAAAAGATATATAGCTTAATATTTTCACAAACTCATTAATGAAGGAAAAATGTTGTTAAGCCTAAATTTTTTATTAATTGATTTGAATTAATGACTAAAATATGCATGATTTTAACTCTTATTCTTAAGATTTCTAGGCATCTTTTTAAGGTCTAACTCAGATTTAATTTNATTTCCTAATGCAAAAATTTACATTAAGTAAAATAAGTTTTGATATTATTTTATTTTGATAATGATCTTGAATCTCTAAAATCTTAAGTTTGATTAATTACATCATTTGAATTCCCTTTAATTATATATAAAACAATAATGTAATAGTATTTAATTTATTGAGATTAAAGACATCGATTATTTAATATTTGATTTATCTTTCTAGTATGAATGGTCTTATTAAAAAAATTCAAGATAAATATATAGTAATCTTAAATGTAAAGATATAATCTCAAAAATGATTTGAATTAGATAATGCTTAAATGATTTAAACATTGAAGCTTTTTGCATGAATTATTTTAGTATCACAATAATACTTTCTGCTTTGAATTTTATAAAAAAGCATCAGCTTTAATATTGCAATTATTAATTGAGTTTAATATAAATGTAGTTTTTCATGTAATTTAGGATGTTTAAGAAATTGTTAAAGTTTCATTAAATTATTGTTGAATTTTAGTTCAAATGAAAAACGAATAAATTTTAGAACAAGATAAATTTTAGTTGTAGTTGAGAATATAATAAATAAAAGAAAAATAAATAGATTTCTAAATATTCTCTGCTAAATACAAGAATATTATTTAAGTTGATTAGTGATTTACTTAAAATTTTTGGCCATAATCTTCAACTACTTGGAATCAATTAATTTTTAAATGCATGCTTTACTAAATAGTTAGATTAATTCATTTTTTTTTTTAAGATGTTATTTTATATAATACCCAAAAGGATTTATTGATTAATCTCCATATTTTATTTATTAATCATCAATAAACATAATCTAAGAACTCGATTTGGAAAGATCAATTTAAAAAAAAGATATATAGCTTAATATTTTCACAAACTCATTAATGAAGGAAAAATGTTGTTAAGCCTAAATTTTTTATTAATTGATTTGAATTAATGACTAAAATATGCATGATTTTAACTCTTATTCTTAAGATTTCTAGGCATCTTTTTAAGGTCTAACTCAGATTTAATTTGGGTACAATTAAATTCATTTACAATTATTTATGATGTAATTGCAGAAGATTCATCAGTACACAATGATGAAATATTCTAGTTTTTCATTGCTGCTGTAGCTATATAAATTTTTTGACTAATTAATTTGGATAACTTTCTCCACCATCTATTTAAATTAAAATTTCAGTTCAAAGTATGTTGTATCAAATTTAAATTTTGAAATTTATCATTCTGTTGTTGAATAATTAAATTGTAGTCTTTTTGATATGTTTGAGCAAAATTACTTCCTCCTTTTTCGAATTTTATTCCATAATCCATTTAATTTAAATTAACAAATTCACAATTGATAGACATTTGAGCATTTGAACTGAATATACTAACACTCACCATAGATTAAAATTTTTAGATATTTCTGACAAAAAAGATTAGAAAACATGTAATTTTTCAATAAGTTTCCAAACTGATTAAAATTGTAAATAATTTGTAGATGGATGATGAGGCTAAAAAAGATTTTGATGACACTGATACTAAAATTTGCTGTTAGTAAAATATAATTTATTATCAATTAAAATCTAGACTGAAATTTAATAAGTACTTTTCGTAAGTGATATCAATTTAATAGTAAATTAATCAACAGTTGAGTAAACTTTGTATCTACCTTAATAGCCTTAGCTGATGGGAGCAGAAATGGCAGTATAAAGAGAATAGAATTAAGTTTCTGAATTGTTAATTCATAATCTAACCCAATTAAGAAAATACATCTTAAATTTTTGTGTAAATCAGCTTCACCAATCTCGATAAATATAAAATTAAAAGTTTCATATGTATATGTAGTTGTATTTCATATTATTATTTGTTAGATTGTATAATGTACTTTTTGGCTATAACATTCATCATAGTAATTTGGATTTTTATGTCATGCATGGTTGGGGCAATAATAATAGATTTTAATACTGAATGTGCACATGAAACAGCATCACATATGACAATAATTCAACAAAATCTCCCGAAATATATATTTTCTGAATTGAAGAAATTTTAAAAGTTAAACTTAAATAATTTTGTAGCCTTATTATTAATATATACACTATTAATTAAAATTTCTATAAATCAAATTAATAATTATTATATTGCAGATAAAAGAATGAAAATTATATATTATGAGATTATAAATCAATGTTATCAAAATGAAAATGTTAAATTATTATAATTATATATCTAAATCATTTCTCTAATTTTAACAATATTTTATTTTTAGCTGAGTTTAATTGCTTTTATATCAATATTTTTTATGATCTTCTCTAAAAATATATAAAATAAATTTATAACATAGTTTAATATAAAAGAAGCATAATAAAAACTTAAAAATTGAGAGGATACATTCTCAATTTAATGTTCACTAATATATTTAGCGATTGTCTTAAAAAAGAGCAAGATATCAAATTTTAACTGCTTAAAGATCCTATTGATTAATTTTGATAGATTATACGATTGCTACAATCCTGTTAATATTTAGTATATTACTCAAAATAATCCTAACAAAGCTGTTTTTAATAGTATATTAGATTCAAAATAAGTCGTAACAAGGATTATGATAATCTTTTTAGAAAATTTGATTTGCTCACAAAAGTAGTTATTTTCAATTGTTTATCAAATAAATATCACAATTTTTATTAATAATCTACTTCTAAATGAAAGAGTTATTTTTTAACTAGTTTATTCTTGATATAATCATTTTGCTCTATTTAATTTAAATCTCTTTTGTTATTATATCAAAGAGATAACAATTAAATTTAAATTATCTAATCTTACATAATGATGATGTTTTACTTATTTTTAGTAAATTATCAAATAATATGACTTCATAAGTGATTATTCTAAGGGAATAATTAAGAATTAAAATGAGATAATTTATTGCTTATTAGAAATTTATTTATATAAAACAATTATCTATTTCATCAGTAACCTCACCAATAATAAATGCAAATTACAGGGTTTGGGTGATTTACAACATATCTCCAATAAATCACACGTTTTTTATTTATTTTATGAAAATGAGTGGAAATATATTTAGAGATTGCAGATGAAAAGACCAATTCCAGTAATTTAATGGCTTGAAATAGCATCAACTAAATTAATAGAATCAAGAAATGCAAGCAGAAGAACTTATGATTAATAAAATAAAAGTAAGAATCGTAAAGCTTAAACCTAATAAAATAATTGAATAAGGAGTTAGTAGGTTTAGCCAATATTTTATGATACCAAGTTAATAATAATATTAATTTTACTCATTCAAAAATATAAATTAATTACTTCTCTTCAAAATGAAGAATTTAGGTACTTTGATCTAATTTCAATCTATAACGATTCATATCCAGATGACATTCACAACTTTTAGGTATTAGTGAATTGCTCATCAAATAGTTCAGAAAGCTATTTACTATATTTCATCGTCAGCAAAACCTATAAATGTGAATTAGGAGAATTCACATTTATAGGTTTGGGTTTTATTTAGAAACTTATGATGCCATAAAGCACTCAATAATTGATAAAACTAAATTTGCAAATATATCTTCACACCCTATTTAATTATAAGAAGAATATTGGTGATTAAATTTATACTCTGATATACTGATTATTGTTTCACTAATACAAAATTTTTTAAAGCAGGATGGAACTTATGAGATGAATTTTGTACTTTGGGACATATTGGAGTTTTATATGAAGAATGTGATTACCATAATAGAAAAAGGGACGGAAATTTTTTAGGAATCCTAATGTTATAATTGTTCCACTAATATTATCACACCGTTTATTTTTTCTTTTCTTTGGTATGAATTTATAAGTATTAAAGGGCCATTATTTCTATATTAATCACATTAAAAAGCATAGAAAAATCTAATTTGTTATTTTCCAAAATTCGATTTAAATTAAGATATAGAAAAATCTTATTTATTTGGAAATAGGTAATAATTTTTCTTATATGTTAGATATTGGAGGGTATTTTTATTAAAATTTTGTTCATTTACTTAAGATAGTACTATTTACTTTTTAATATCAAATTTTCTATTTCATTTTCATTCATTGATCCAACTAGTAACAACTCTTAATTAATGGCATCAAGCCTTGATTGCTATTTATCTATGTTAGAATTATTGCTACTATTTTATTGATACTAATTCAATTTGCAGTCATTTTTATTGGGTATCATATATATTTTAGCCTCTATAAAAAAGTACAAACCTAAATTATTTCCGAAACATTATTATATAGTATAAATTTATTAAATTAATAAACTCAGAAATAAAAATATTAATAAAATTAAAGCCTCAAAAAAAATCAAATAAAACTTATGAAGATTAAAACAAAATTTATAAAAAGGCGAAGTTTTTTCATGAATTGGAGATCAAATAAACAAGATTCACTGTTGAAATTTTAACATTTGACAAATTATCTAGTTTGATATGGGTTAATTATACATCAAATACTAATTACTTAGTATCTTAAATATACTTTAAAATAAAATTTCTAAGGGATGTTTAAATAAATTCAAAAAAAACATTATCAAATAGAAAAAGATAAGGATTTATAAATCAAATTCTAGACCTGAATTATATGAATAATTAATTTTGAAATTAAATTAAGACATTATAGAGCAATTAGAGAAAAATCATATGCATATCTTTTCTAAAGATTGGAAATTCTAAAGAAATATTTAAAGAAAATATGCTTTTATTTGATGAAAAAAGTTTTTAGATAATTATACATCTGCATGCAAGCTTTGGAAAATTTAAAATTAAAGCAATTTTTATCAAAAAAGAATTTAAGTAGGTTAAAAAATACAAAGAGATAATATAATATGTAATTTAATCGAAATACAAAGGAACTTAAAACAAAAAATATGTAGAAAACTCTTTGATAAATAGATTAATCACTTATTGAGACCTCCTAAAAATCAATATTATAAAGTAATTTATACAAAAAAGATTTTCAGTGACTCATAATGGAAAATTATATTTGATGATGTTTACAAATAATTAGTTATTATTACCATAATTGATTCTTTCAATAAAATTTTATAGTTTTCTTTTAATTGCATTTCTTGAAATTTATTAAATGAAATTAAATTATTTATTATAATACAAGCTAGATTGTTTAATCCCACGCAATTCACATTTTGAGCCAATTTACAGAAAATGATTCTATTTTGGACAATAATTTGAATTAAAAATCTAAATCAATCTATTGGTACCTAAATGCTCTAAGATATATAAGTTTGGTACTCTTTATCCAAAATTTGGATAAAATAAATTTAAGAATTAAATTATTATCTGAATTTTCATTAATGTTAGATTTACATTTTCCATACAAAATTGATAAAAGAATTTATTGTACACAATTATTTGAACTTTTGGCTATTCAATACCAAGAAAATTTATCTTATAATTTATTGTTATTCAAGAGTTGATTGAAAGATGTCATTAAATTAAAAAATTTTGTAACCATAAGGTATCAATTACTTTATGAGAGGTTACAATTAATTATTTCAAGAATCTTTTTTAATGTAGGTATTATCATTTAATAATATTATAATCCTCAAGCTTTTCTTCAGTGAAGCAGTTAATTCAGAATGTGGTTTAATTTTTTTGTTTCATATTTAATTCATAGGCCTAAAGTTAAATACTAAATTTAGTATTCGCCACAAAACTTATTTTTTCACTCTTCTTGTCTATTTGAGTTGAGCTCCTCATGATTTGAAGGAAAAATTTAGTTGCTGAAATATAAACATATTGAAATGATGTAATGGATAGCAGAGAATGATTTATTCGAAAAAATATTATAATTGAAATTATACATGTGAAAATGTTACTAATTTTCCAAAATATAATATAATTGTAATTTATGGATTAATAAGAAGAATAAAATAAAAAAAAATTTAATACTATCTAGGTGTTTGTGAGGAATTATTCTTGGCATGTGAAAAGTTAGGATAAAGACTGGCCCTGATAAAACCTCAGCTTTTGAACTTCCAACATTTCAGCAATTATTAGCAAATCTTAGGGAGTTGTGTATAGAAATTTAAGAAGATTTCCATGTAATTGGAGCATCTCGTGTATTAAAAGCTGTAATTATTTTTGGAGGTAGGGATCCTCTAGCTTAAGCAAAAACTTATGCGTAAAAGCCACACATTATAGTTTGTACTCTAGAATAGGGTCTGAATCATTTAGAAAGTACAAAAGGAGTTAAGACAAAGAAATTAAAATTTTTAGTTTTAGATGAAGCTTTTTTTGAAAGAGAAATTAATTCAATTCTAGATATCATTCCAAAAGGAACGAAATAAAATTATAGACAACCTTGCTCAAAAGTCAAAATAAATTTTTAAAGCAAATATTAAACTATCTCTACTATTCAACAATATTATCTTTAAAACCTGAAAAATACAAAGAAACCTATTTGGCAGGAAATACTTCGATTGTATTTTTAGCAACATTTTAATTGGCGATCAAGATAACATTGCTACTTAGAAATATTTGATTTTAAGTCATTTCCATATATTGAAAACTGAGTTAAGCCAAAAGATTATCATCATTAATAAATTCAAATCTCAAAAATCTAATTTATTAATCGCTATTGATGTTGCAAGTAGAGGTCTTTACATTCCCTTTATTAATATGCTAATTAATTTTGATATTAAATTAAATACAAATCAATATGTTCATAAAGAAGGTAGAACTGCAAGAGCTGGAAAATACGGAAAGGCAATGAGTCTTGGAACCTAATATGATGTTCAAATGTATCAGAAAGTAGAATTAAAAGATTTATTAGAAAAAAGATTAAGAGGACTGGAGTTGATGAAGATGATTTGGATGATAAAAAAGTGAAATAAATCTATAAAAAATAAAAAAAAATCCAAATAAAAAAGCAAGGGTCAAAAAATATTAATTAGATTATTTATTAACAATGTTATCAACTTTTTTTGATAATTCAAATTCATTTTTATAATTTGTTTATTAATAAGCTCTAAATTCTTAACCCTCCAATTATTTTTTTGAAAACACAAATATTATAATGAAAAATAACAAGAGAGGTTTATTCATAGTTCTTGAAGGATTAAATAAATGTGGTAAATCTTCATAAACTAAATTATTAAGAGAAGCTCTTGAAGCAAAAAAAATATAATTTCCAAACAGAAGTACTTCGATGGGTTCAATCATATCAGATTATTTGAAAGGAAAAAGAGATATTAATGATTAAGTGATTCATCTTTTATTTTCAGTAAATTGATGGGTAGCTGAGTATTAAATATAAAAATAATTTGGTATACCATAATAAAAACATTAAATAAAGGAATCAATTTAGTTTGTGATAGATAAGCATATTCTGTTGTGGTATTTTATTCTGCAATAGAACTTCCAATTCAATGGTGTAAGCAATGTGATTCAGGTTTACAAAAAAACAGATCTATTAATATATTTAAGAGCTCCAATCAAATAGTTGAAGGATAAAGATGATTTTAGAGCAGAACGATATGAAAAATAAGAATTTTAGTAATAAGACTAAGAATTTTTTAATAAAATGGCTCAATAAGAATAATTTAATATTATTAATGCTTTATAAACCAAAGAGGAAATATTTACTCAAATCATGGACCTTATTAATGCTGATATTTAGAATGCATTAATTATACAATAGAATAACTTTGGAGCTGAATTGAGTCACTATACTTTATTCATTTTTTATAAATTAATATAATATTTTGTAAAATTTTTTGAATCGATAAACTAAAAATAAATCCTTTATCCTTCAACTCTAAATAAAAAAATAATTGTGATTATACATTTTCAGCATTCACAAATCTAATTTTAATTATTTTCATTCCATTTATTTTTTATATTTTAATTTACTATTTTTTATTGCTTGTTTTCACCTCTAAGTAATTTATTCAATTTTTAAATGAACTTATCTATATTCATAAAGAATAATGGAATTTTGATCTTCGATTTTTAAAGAAACTATAAATAAAAAAATTTGACCACAGAGGGATTCAAATAGTCGCCCTTTCGGGCTGCAGCCTGAATGCAGCGCCTTAGACCACTCTGCCATATGATCGCATATTAAGTACTTATTAAAATACACGATTATAAATTATATCACTTTCCAATTCTAATTTTTTGCATTATCTTGTCTGATTCTGAAGGATCCCATTTAATTTTAATCAATATCTACTAAATTTATATAATTCTATAAAAAAATAATTGATCCTGTATACACTACTAAAGTGAGCATCTCTGCAATAAAAATTATATATCTAAAATGATTCACCTCTGTAAAGACATTTAATAATTCAGCTACTATTAAGCTACTAAATTTTACTGAAACTAAATCAAGAAATTTATTTTGAAAGATAGTCAAACTCTAAACCATAATAACAGCAGCTACAATAATTGTTTAAATGATTACCATAAAAACAGATTTAAATAGACAGAGCAAAATGTCTTTACTGTTTACTCTTTGACTTTTAGTAAAGCTTTCTATAGTACTGTGTATGCGAGAGCTTTTTCTTTAGTTACATCTTAATCAAAAATTAAACAAAAAACAGGAAACATTGTGTAAACTGTGGCATATTCTAACATCAACCAACCATTATAGATAGGAATAGCTACAAAATAGAAAACAATCTAGAGTAAACCTCGATGCGTGACGAATTAAGCCATTAAAGAGGTTCTCTTATAAGCTAATCTACCATGCCATAATAATAAAACATCTAATTGCTTAAATTTTCAAACGGAAATATTGGTTGCTAAAGCTGCTTATTTTCCTTCTTTGCCCACTCTTCCGACTCCAACATTAGCAACTTAAATCATAGCTACATCATTCCCACCATCTTCAATAGATAAAACTATCTTTTAAGTATGCTCTTTAATCAATTCAGTGGCTTATGCCTTTAGGTTGGGGATCATCTGGTAAAGACTACAGCAGGAGAATTACAAGCTCCATGGAAAAATGCAGTATGGTGAAACTCAACGCAACTTTAAGGATTATCCATCTATACCTAGAACGCTACTATTTTTTAGAGCAAATTAATTAAGCTCATTTTTTAGGATTAAACAGTCTTCTATATTCTTAATTACAAACATTTCTTAAGTAGGAATTTTCAATCCAGTTGAAATTGCTAGACATTAAGCAGTTTCTACTTTATCTCCAGTTAACATCCAGATTTATATTCCTGCATTTTTCTAGATTCTAATGTTGCATAAATGTCTTCCTAGAACATATCTTTAACTCTTGTTAATCCCAATAATTCCATATCATTTTCATAAAAGTCCAAAATTTTTGAACAGTGAGCCTCTCTTTCTCCCATTTAATACTTAGCCTTCTCATGTTCAGTAGTAAAATTTTTAAGATTATCCTCTGTCAAATATTTTTAAGTTATCGCCAAAGTTCTTAATCCCTCTCTACTTAGACTTTCGCATTCATCCATAAAGAATCATCTTTATATTTCTTTTGAAAGGTTTAATTTTTTTACCCCTTATTCTTAATATTTTTTAATATATCTTCCATCGGACATTTACTATTAGTACAGTGCTTTTTTATCATTTTCTTTGAGAAACCTAATGTTTCGGCTGAAAAAGACATTCTTTCTAAAGATAGCTTTTTAAAAATCATTGTATTTTAAGTTAATATACCAGTTTTATTTATTAAAACATAAGAAATTCTTAAGGTATCGTGCTATTTCTGGCAATTGATCTTTCAATGTATTTATCATTTGAAATGCAAAAGGAAAAATATAATTTGAAAAAGTCTAGATTAACTCTTAAAGATATTGGTACGATTGAACTTAACAATAACACATGCCTAAATCATTCAAGTAACCATTCATTTTAAAATCCGCTGCTTAATACAATAGTAAATACTGTACAAATTAACAATACACATAATAATGTTGCTAATTAATTTAATTTAATTCATTATCTAATCGACCAATATTCGTTCTAGGTTCTTTTGAATTCAATGCAGATCTTCATTCTTTTCCTGTGTAGACCACAAAACCCATAATCTTCCCTGTATTACACCATAGAGTGTTTTCCAATTACAATGCTTCTCTCTATCCTTCTGAACCACCTACCTCTAAATTAAATAAACTTTTGAAATCGTAATTTAAGAGGTTCGCAGGCAATTGATGCATTATGAGTTTTTAGATTGTTAATTTAACCATAATTTTAAGTATGTCTTATGGCTTTTTTATTTCTTAATTTCCAGTCAGTTTCTCCATCTAATTAATCTGTTCTAATGAAAACTGTTCCTGTTACATCATTTGTATGGAGCAATATTAAATCGGCAGGTTTTCTTTAATTTGCATGAATCTTAATAATGTCTCCAACTTTTTATTGCTAACTTTACAAGTGTATTCTTGTGAATTTGCTTCTTTATCTCTTTTATATCTTTATAAATCATGATATGCTTCTTTAAGTTATGTTAAGATCAATACGAATGCTATTGGAGCAACATAACAGCAAAGTCCTTTAAAAATGATATAAATGCATATAATAATAACTGTAAAAAAAGATAATTAATTCTGATATA